TGACAAGCAGAGGTAACTCGTTCCTGAGTCTTGGTCCTGCTACAGAGAAGGCCCTGTCACCTCTGCGCTTAAGACGAGTTCCTGGAACTGTGAGGAGCAACTGGTCCGCTGTTATGTACATCGAATATGAATATGTGTATAAATAATGAACTGCACAGTTCATGAGTTGTGTGTGGCAGTGAAACAGTTCATGCCTTGAGCAGAGGCGTCTGCAGGGCAGGACGGTGGATGGTTGGGGTGTTCTGAGCAGAATGTTTGATTCTCTGTGAAAACATTTCTGTGGCTGACACAGTGAAACAGCATTTTGGATTAGGGACCAGGCTAGGCTACAGGAAGTCCGTAGAATGTCCTAATAGGGAATAAAACACAAACTTGTGTGTGTGTCAGAGGGACGGTGTTTGGTATTGAGTCTATTCCTGTCGTTGTGTGTACAGTACAGACTGCTTCAGTGACTCCACCCTCAGGAACCTCCCAGCAGCTGAGTAAGCTGCACACGTTCCGGTTCCTGCTCCATCAACACACATCCAGCTGCAGCAGCAGTGGTCCAGGTGGAGCAGCGCTGTCTGCCACAAACCGTGCTGCAGTCAGGATGTGTGTGGCCGTGATCTGGGGACGCCTCAAACTGTGTTTGTGAGCTGAACCCAGTTTAATACTTCCTGTTTCCATACATGCTCCTAAAGCAGTGTGGCAGTTCATGTGATGGGTCTGCTCCCAAAAATATAAGAAATGCCATAAATCATGGAGCGGGGAAGTTTATCGTTCTATACTTTGCTATGATCTTGTCGTCATGTGAGGTTTTTTCATATGTACAGTAAACAAGCTCTTTTATTCACAACATACAAATTTAGGACTGTTCCAACTTTAAACATATTTATATTGCACAGAGTTAAGAGTCAATATTTTTAAAGACAACAGCTTTGAGCTGCTCTTCCTCCACTGCTTGTTTAAAATAAGTCTGCACAATATTAGAGATTAGAAGAACTTTATGTGTGATTTTATTTTAATAGTGCAATGACAATGGGCGGCTGTGGCTGAGTGGTTAGAGCAGTCATCCTCCAATGGGAGAGTTGGGGGTTTGATTCCACCAGCAGTCACATGCTGAAGTGTCCCTGGGCTAAACACTGAACCCCTTGTTGCCTCCGATGTGTGTCCCATCGGTGAATGAATGTGATAAAGTACTGATTAGTCTTTGTATAGATCTAGTAGAGTGCTGTGTGAATGGGTAAATGAGGCACAGATTGTTGTAAAGAGCTTTGAATGTCTTGATAAGATACAAAGGAACTACATAAGTACAGTCCATTCACCATTTGCAATATCAGTTGTGACAAATCCTCAACTTGTCTTCAGTCATCAATAACCTCATATGTCATGAACATGTAAAACATGAGCACAGGGTACTTTAAATATAATGCTCTGTGATGTATTGCAGTCTAAGCAGTCCTCTGTGATATTCAAATATATGATGTTGTGATAACATTTTGAGATCTTGCTCAGCCCGAGTTGAAGACAATAACTTTACGGCTGTTCTCATTTGAGACAAACGTACTGAATGAAAAAATATGAAAATGTTTGAATCGACAAAATGAACGCAGCATCAATAATATAAAAAAGATAAGAAATGCTTTAATTGAATGTCTACAATAAAAACTAATCAACAGAATGGAAACAATATGAGGACAAAATTATGTTATTACATAAGCTTCCATTAAAGACCTCCATCACAACTTCAGTAAACCATCCGCTGATGGTCTTGAAGGTTCTTGACAAGGTTTTTAGCTCTGTATTATGGATCCACACTGGTTTTAGGTGGTGGTGGTTTATCATCATGGTGGCAGTGTATCCATGCCAGGAACACACGTCTCTTCTTAATTTTAACTAGAACATTTACATCAATATATTTGAACTGAACAGTTGATTATGTTTCCATTATTCAGCAAGCAGCTCAGTTATTTATCTTGTTCACCAAATGACGTCCTGATAAGTCTAACAACCAATCTCCTTCATCTTGAGCTGCTTTCGTCGTTTCCTGCAGGACATTAAGAGAATGTCTGTAACCAAAGGCCTGTGAAGAAGCAGGAGTCTGGGTTAACAAAGCTCCCTGTCCTCTGCACAAACAACGATTACAAAGAACACGAGGACGGTGGGAATTGCTTCTGCTCCCTCAGCGAACACAAACATGCCTCCATGGTGCAGCGTCCCTGCATTGCAGTCCTTTTGGAAGTCAGGACCCTTCAGTGTGTCTCACCGCTCGTCTGTGGACATGTTTATATCTATATGTATATGTGTATATGTATATGTGTGTATGTATATGTGTATGTGTGTATGTATATGTGTATATCTATATGTGTATGTGTATATGTATATGTGTGTATGTATATGTATATATGTATGCATGTATATATATATATATATATATATATATGCATATATATATATGTATATATATATGTGTATATGTATGTATATACATGTGTATATGTATATTAGGGCTGCAACTAACGATTATTTCAATAATCGATTCATCGGCCGATTATTTTTTAGATTAATCGGCAAACAAAACCACGTTTTAATTTCCACCCCTTTATTCCAAAATTGAACATTTGACTGACATAGCAATTCACACAAAAAACAGGTTGCTATTTGACTATTATTTTAGTAAAATATTGAATAATAAAAAATAAAAGTTAGTCAAATAGCTTAAAAAAATAAATGTACACAAAAATATATACAGATGTATCTTTATACCTGCACAATATGTAGCTACTTTGTAAAATGTGTCATTGAGGGAAGAGTGTAACCTGGATTAAAAGTGTGGATTATTGTAACCTGGATTAAAAGTGTGGATCGTTGTAGTGAAGCCTTCGTCTTCAACCATCAACAGAGGCCTCATATCAGTGACGATCATGTTCAGGATGTTTCAGTGAAGACAGCTGCTGCTGTGGTGTCCATGATGTCTGTCCATCATGAAGGATGTTGTTGTTTTCTGGAATGAGAGAGTAAATATGCATTATATCATAATTTACAGCAACTCAAGAAATGCCTTGTTTCACTTACAGCGTTCAGGCAAAAGTAGCTAAAAGAGCAATTACACACACACACACACATATATATATAATACTTAATTACACACTTTTGAGCAGATGTAATAAATTACTTTAATTCCTGTTTAAATGCAATTCATCCTGCCATACCTGCAGTGTCTTCAGACTTTGCCAGCAAATTAAAAGTTGAAGCTTAATCATTAAATTATTATCTTTGTGTTAGATTTATTTATAAATCACATTTAAACACTGCTTGTACCAATT